GACTAAAATAACAAATTAGTGTTTCATTTATTCCAATAAGTTTTTTTAGTTCATTTCCACAATGACGTGCTTGTTCTTGTCCTTTTTCAGTTAGACCAATAGCATGATCAGGTATTGTTGAATAAATTCTTGAATCTTGATTAGCTTGACTTTCACCATGTCGAATTAAAATAATACGTTTAGGACGTTGTCGACAACGATATCGTTTTGCACCACTCACAATTATTGAACATAACCAATCACATAAATTAGTTTGAGATAGAATCCATAGAACAAGAAGAATTAATAATGAAATACTAATAATTAAAATCATGTTGTTTGAATATGAATGAAATTATAAATCATGTAAAAGATATTGTTGTTGTTTTGAGTTTTTGCTTTGTTCTGTCGTTATGTACTGATGGATGAAGAACTGTGGCGACGAAAGAAAAACACTCTATAGAAGTCATGCATAATGTTTTTTTCAACTATAACTGGCAAACATACATTTCTCGAGAAAGAATCAATTTGTTTCTATCGATATATGTATGAAAAATTTGTTGAATCTTAATTCTATTTCTATAAACAAGCTTTACAACAAATATTTTAGAAGGTTTTTACAATTTATTTCTTTTTTCTTATTGGTCTTTATAATGAAGTAGACATGCATATACATGTTGTTACTTTTTTGTAAAAGAAGAAAGAAAAAGGTGTGCTATTATCTTTTACATTCATTATATGATAACTCTAAACTGATTATGATAGATTGTAGTAAAACTACACAATAATACAAAAATATTGATCAATAGATTCACCAAAAGAAAACGGTGTAACTAATGGTGGGCAACACCAGGTGATATCCCACTATCGGATCAAAGAAAAACATAATAATTACTATCATTAACACTATATTGTATGGATGATCTTCAACGTCATAGAACACTGTTCTACTATTCACAATCTCTTGGTTAGACTACTATCGAAAGATCAGTTTATCAATCAACAATAAAATGGCAGCAGAATATTTTGTACTATTACCTATAACATCATTCTGATGTTTTCGTTGGTTATTTCTGATCACCAACCATATAGATCTAATAAAAGTATACTGTATAGATGACTCCATGGCAATCTTATTCTTGAAAATAACCAAATATTTTCATAAATTTTTTGAATAAACAACCATTATCTTGTCTAATTAAACAATAGAATATCACTCTGAACATTGTATATAATTACTTATTGAGTCATTCATGTGAATTTTTCACATGTTCAAGAGTCGAACGGAAATGTTCATGTCAGAATTTTGTTTTTGATGTATGCTAGAATATGATAACAATATTACTCTTCTAATAATTGCAGATTTGAACAGTTTCATAAAATTATATGTTTAGTTTTTTAGTTTTTATCTCAGTTATATGTTTCAGACGCTTGATAGTACATGAGGAAGTATGAAAAGAGAAATTAATCATAGTTAAACTACTGATTAGAGCGACGTAGGTATGTTTGAAGGCGAATAGTATCAAATGAAATTTCAGTGAAAAGTCACTCAATTTTAATTGAGAATCTAGCAATAGAATTTGAGTTTAACAATGTGTCAAGGTCAATAATGAGAGTTGTACAAGATAATTTAATTCTCTGTCATAGAATGGAACTGTTAATTTAACTAATGGAAACTTAATGTTGGATAATATTGATTATCTGTAGATTACTCGAATTCTCTAATGCGACAAAATAGCCTTGACTTCGTAAAAGATAAATTGATGATAATATCTATACAAAATAGGAAAACTCGAAATAGATAATACAGTATTTCTGATCTTGGGATTATCCATTGAAAAGAAGTTCAAAGAGAAGAAGCATTAACTTAATACTACTTTTTGTTTTATCAATTAACATTTCAACGATAGAATGATTTTTGTTAGTTATGATTTATATGCAATATGATGAAAATAAACGCACATCACTGTTGATGTCGAACATTGTATATACAACATATCAAGTGAGAAACCTTTCAATAGAAACAGTTTTTTTCTAGTGATCTAATCAGTTGTTTAATATTGTTATAAGTGAAAAATGAATAGCATCTTTCTTCACTATCTGTATCTAATCTAAAAATGGCATATACTAAGAAAATATCATAATGATCATCTTCATGTTTATTAATTAATCTTATTTATCCTTTGACAACCCGTAATCTACCTAAATCTGATACATATACATAAAGGATTTCATCAGAATTTAATAATCAATGAAAAAAGGAGAAATATTTGACAATAAAATTCCATTTCTAACAAGGTATAAATTATCTATTCAATTTAATATTAGGATTACATCAAGTATCTATATTTATTTTGTATACTAATGTTATATTTTTTTAGCATTTCAGACTAAATAAATCCAGGAAATAATAAAAATTTTTTTGTAAATAAATATTTGTTTTACTCCATAAAGATAAAAATCAATTATACAAAACTCGTCAAAGAAGCCATTACTTAGTACATGATAAAATAAGATTCTTCTAATCTCATCTTTTTTCTCCTCAGGCAACAATGTGATTTGATTTTTTTATGCTCATCTGAACGTATAAAATTCAGAATGGATTGTTATTAAAATCTAATTTATTACTAGTGTCAAAATTTTCAACTAATCTTGTGAGATTCACATGTCCTGTCTTCATCAAAAAGATTATATTTATTCATTTATTTCCCATGATAATGGCATGTAAGTTAAAATCAAAAAGAAATAATTTAATCGTTACAAACTTAAACATTTCAGTTGAACGTTAAAAAGTTTTCTTTGAACAAAGCTGTCTTTCAAGTAAAGAAAAGAAAAAGAAAATGTTGTGTTATAAGTCGTGCGTGATGCAATAAAGAGCAGACCAATATAATGATGATTCTTTCAAGTCTTTGCCGTTCAAACAGAACATAAACATAGAAGAAAAAGTGCAAGTGTCTCTCAAGCATACGTGCGTCAGATAAGCGCCGTAGAACTGAACGAGCAAGTAACCGAGAGTTAGTCAATTCTCTCTTTTACAATCAACAACAGCGACGACGACGACCATGTTCAACATTAACATTTTCCAGTGAACCAGTATTAGCAAAAAGAAGAAAGGAAGAAAGAAAGAAAGAGAACAACTACTAGAGGAAAAGAAAGAAAGAGTGAGAGAGAGTATGCCGCAACACGAAGATGATTACGAAACAGGCAACGAGAAGAAAATGTGCTCAACGCAGAAAAGAATCGAGAATATGGTTAGATGCATGCTTTCATATCTTTTTCTTCTCCAAGTGAAAATGGGCAAATAATCATAGTGAGAAAGACTTTGCACGCCTAGATTTCCAAAGAAATGAAGTATAATAGTGTGCCTGGTAAGATTTAGGAAGATAGAATTCTTCTTTCTACCAATCCATTCATTTGTTTATGTTAGTCCTATGATGTATAGCACACTATTTCTTCTTAATAACTTCTTGGCTGTCAATAAGAAGTCATGCTGTTTATGAATAATGGCATATTGTTTTCATCTATTTCTTTTCTTGTCTTGTATTTCAGAAATATAAATTCATAGTAATTGATAATGATTATACGATTGTAATGTTTTTCAATTTTTTCTTTCTAATATTATCTCTTAACATCTTTTTATGGTCAATAAATGCTAATGGTGATGAATGTGAATTTTTAAATATGTGTAAATGCACAAATTTTCCCCTTTTTGCATTAATTGATACGAATTATTTATCTAAACCACGATCATTATTAAATCAAGATTTATTTTGTACATATTCAAGTGATTATATAAATGAAACAAAATTAACAACATTTGATCAATTCAAATATTTTTATTATCGTTTTCGTACATTAACATTTGCAAATTATCCATCTATACCAACAAAAGCATTTCGTTTTATTCATTTTGAAAGTCAAACTGTTAAAAAAACTCATAAAACAAATAATCGTAATGTTATTGCATTTGTTAATATTCAACAAACTCAAACAGGTATATTTGAAGAATTAAGTCTATCAGATTCTCAGGAACAACTTATTATATCATTTCTTAATTCACCACTATTAATCTATGCGAATGGTGCTCTTTCAAAATTGAATTGTTATCAATTAAAATTATATAATACAAATCCAAAAATTCCAATAGATTTTTTTAATAATACTCTTTTTATTCATCATTTAATTATTGATAATCCTTCATTTATTGGTTTTATTCCATCATCAAATACATTTATTTTTCAACTTTATCAACTTTCAATAAAAGATATTAGTGTTCGTCATTTACAAGGAAAACATTTTCCTATTATATTTAATTCAGTTAAAGAATTAAAACTTGAAAATTATTATGTCAATGGTGGTTTTCGATCATTTAATAATCGAGAATTAGCTCAACGATTTCCACA